ATAAGACGAAATTTCGAACGAATAAAAAAAATTTTTTTTTTTTTTTATCCACCTGTTGTAGGTAGCGAGAGAGAAGGATGGGGGATTCTGTCTTTTCATATAATTTCATCTCTCTGCGGGATTATTTTATCTAAAAGAATTTTTCTTTAATAAAAAAAAAAAAAAAAAAAAAAAAAAAAGAAGAAGAAGAAAAAGGAAGAAAATTAATGACGATCATAACTTTTTCATTATCATCGTTTTCTTATTTTCGATTTTCTCTATTTTTTGGGGCAAGGAAAAAATTTTTTTCATTTTCATTTTCATTTTATTTTTTAACTACGAATTCACGTTTTTTTTTTTTTTTTTTTGTATTAAAATGGAAATAATAAGAACGAAGCGAACGAATCTCCATTTTTTTTTCTTTCCTCCATGCATTCGTTATAAAAAAAAAAAAAAAACTCGGATGATTTTATTTTTAACGTAACTAAATAAAATTTATGGGGAGAAAGTAATAATAATAATAATAATAATAATCTGCGAAAAAAAAAATAAAAAATAACTTACGTCGAAAGATGGATTTATTTTAATGCATCCTCCACCGTTAAAAGCATCCTCGAACGTATATTCAACAAGGGGTTCTTTCATTTTCTTATAATGTCCTTCTAATTGCGAAACGTGAAACAATAATTTTTCGGATTTTTTCTTTTCCATTTCCGGACTCTTATCGGTTTTCTCGTTTAACGTGTACACGTACTGATTTATCGTCGATATGACATCTTTGAATGCGTTTAAATTCGTTTTCGTTATACATTTTAAATAGGAGTATTGATAACTTTGTTTCGACATGTTCAACCATGGACCATCTTTCACAACCACTCCTTGTTTATAATATTTCAAACCGCATCCCCTGTTAAAATTACATTTGAATGGAAATTCTTTCGTTCCGTGAGTGTTCAAATAAGGGAAAACGCAAGACCAAAATATTTCATCGTTGACGAGAAAATTTCCCGGTATTTTTTCGTGAGTCCATCCAAATGCAAATATGGCGGATGAAAGATTTTTTTCTCTCACAACCTTTAATGCTTCTCTCGTGTTGAAACCTCCGCCGCCGTACATGTTACGACCGAAAACGTCGATTCCCACGTAAACATCGTGAATTCTCTCTGCGGCCATTTTTCTACAATGATATAAATTATCTATTTTCCAAGAATAATTTATAAATATCCCGTCGGTTATGTCGAAAAACGGCCTGTTTGTGTAATTTAATTCGTTCTGCCATTTTAATTCGCCGTAAACTGTTAAACTGTCGTACCAAATGACATATGTTTTAAATTTTTTGTACTTTAACAATTGTTTCTTAAGTGATTTTATGAAAATCATTAGTCTCGGCATTAAATCGACCGAAAGAGGATTTTCAATGTTTAATAAATATCCATCAAATTTATGAGCATCTGCAATGAGTGCAAGAGCTTCTGCAAACCATTGTGCTTTTATTTCTGAATCTAATATTTCATTCCATATGGATTGACCATTTTTGGGTTCAGTAATAAGAGTACCTGCAAAAAATATGAATAAGAATAAATTAATTATAATTAATTTTAATTAAAAATTAAATTTTGAATGTGTTTTAATTATAAATATAAAAATTATTCTCGTATCGATACAACAACATGAACAAAAAACGAAAAGGTATCAGCGATTAAATATAAAATGATTGAAATAAAAAATCGAGTAGATTGAATGAAAAATTTTTAAAAAAGTATAATGATAATTTACAACAACATATTAAATGCACTTACTAAAAATACTTTTTGATTTTTCTGCAAACATCTTTTTTTTGTTTTAATTTAACTTTATTTCTAGATAGTTAAACTTTTTAATCAAAAGTTCGAAAATAAGTTACAGAATAAATCAGGGTCTTAGATAATATTTGAAATAAATCTACTCGAGAAAAAAAAAGATTCATGCATTCACATATTGTATTTCGATACAAAAAAAATTTTGAATCGATTGAAAATTATAAATACCTAATATAGGTACTCCATGTTTATGAGCAGCATTTGTCCAAACAGGAGGAGGAACTGTCACAAAATGGTGACTGAAATACACAAAAATATCAACACAAGACCAGTTGAAGAAATTATATGCATCATGCTTGTCGCTTCCTTCTAAAAACCTTAACAATGAAATATAATGTTAGAGTAATTAACCACTTACTTCTATGAATTTATACAAATGAATTATCTAATAAAAAAATTAAAATTATAATATACCTGTCTTCTAAGTAACCACCTCTGTAATCATGGCAAAAAAGATTTTTTGGTACACTTTTCCTATCTAACCTGGGCTTTGGAAACCAACCATCATCCTCAAATTCATCATCCTGATGACCGTAGTAACAAAAATCAGTTGCAGGTAAAATTTCTGTAACATTTTCCATCCACGAAAACCTTTTCCCATTTTTTAAATGAGCACAAAGAGCGACAACCTCCGTCAAAGTTTTGTAAGGCGAAAATTCTTGTGGGCATTCGTCATTCGCACTAAGTGAGGTTAGATCGAAATTAAATGGACATTGACTAATAAAATTTGTCATCGCGGCAAAAACTACTTACGCTTGAATAACGTTTTAAATGTGACTGCTTTTATATTTTAATAGTTTGCGGATGCAGGCTTTTTTTTATCTGAAGCAAACGACTAAAATATATTTCTATGTTCACATTGATATGACTTATCGGTTTTGTTGCAAAACCGATTATCACTGCAGCCAACAATTTAAACCGAAAGGAAAATGTTTTGCGGCTACAAAACAAAAAAACAAAAAAAACAATTATGAAATTTAGAAAAAAATTGACCTTTGACCTCTTTTTAAAAAAAAGAACAAACAATTAATATAATAAATAACGTTACCTCTTTCACAAGCTATGTCGAAATAACTTCGCTCGCATTTTATTATAAACGAACAAATCTCGTGGAATTAGTAACGAATTTCCGTTAATTTAAATTTCGCGGGGTTTTTGTTATTTGAAACGTTTCTTTTATCGTTTATTTTTTTTTTTTTTATACGCGCGACGCTTATATTAATAACAATCGTTATAAAACGAAAAATTATTTAAATTATCATTAAAAAAATGTTTTGATAAAATAATTTTTAATAAAAAGCTTTAAGATTAAAAAAAAAAAAAAGGGTGTGTCAAAACCCTTTGGTATGAATACAATTAAAAATAGGCTTGGATTTGTCACATTTTAAATAATAAGTTATATACTCCGATAACACTTCAAAAAGAAATTTTATATTTAAATAAAAAAAAAAGCAAACCCCCCTTCCCCCCCTTCATCCCATCCTCTCAAATGGTTTTTGTCATTTCATCTTAAACCAAAAAAATAATTTTCAATTGTTATATTCATTCAAAACACTTAAAACAATTAAATTTTTTTATAGTCTTTAATATCCAGCCATTTAATTTATTATTTATTTTATTTTTAAATGTGTTTTAATAATAATAATAATACCCAAAATAAAAATATTTCAAAGAAAGGAAATTTTTGAATTAATATAAAACAAAAAAAAAAAAAAACGATTTTTATTTAATAATTACCAAATTTTTATTTGGAAGACATTAAAACAATAAATTTAAAATTACCCAAAAAAATATTTTTTTTTATACCTTCTTACATTATTCATTATTATTATTATTATTATTATTTTGTACCTATGAAATACATTTTTTTATTTCCTGCAATTTATTATTGTTTACATCTACATTATTATTATTATTATCATCATCATAATTAATTATTATTTATATATATATATATATATATATATAGTTTGGTCCAAGAAGTTTAAATAATTATTTGTAATGTGTTTATTTATACATATATAAATGCATGTCAAGTGAAACAAAAAAAAATTTGGCAAAAGTTTTACGAAAATCATATTCAAAAAGTAATTAAAAAAACAAAATAATAATGAATTTCCTTTTTGAAATTTTTCTACAGAATTTATTATTATTATTTCCCCCCCCCCTCTTCCATTGAGAATTTTAACACAAAAATAAAAATTTATATACCTGGCCGAAAAAAAAAATTTTTTTATTCATTTATTTTCTTTCAAAAGATTGTCAAATTTTAAAATAAAAAATAAAAATGCACGCACGCGCACACACACACCGCGAAAATCAATCAATAAATCGATTGCCTCAATTCGTTAATAATAATAATATTAATAAAAGAAAAAAAATTAAATTAAATTATTTTATTAAAAAAAAACAAAATATTTTTGTGCGATCATGCTACAAAGGTAAAAACTTTTTCGGCTCAGGTATTAGTTTTTTTTATAAAACAATAATAATAATAATAATAATAATAATAATAATAAATTATCTTTTCGTAGAAAAAAGAAAAAAATTGGTAAAGGAATCACGTGTTTAAATCTCGAGGATTCACGACTTTTTAAAAATAATAATAATAAATAAATAAATTAATTTTTTTGTAAATGTTACAAAAAAAAATAAAAACAATCGAATTTTGCAAAACACATTATTATTTATTTATTTATTTCTTATCACTTATCGATTGTTTTTATTTCTCTCATCAAAAGGTAATAAATAATAATAATAATAATAATAAATAATGAATTTAAATTTTTAATTTACGACGAATTTTTTTTTTTTTTTTTTTTTTGATTTGTGGACCAAATTTATAAAATTTTGGCATCCGTCATCATTTATTTCGTCAATTAATTTTTTTACTTATTATTATTATTATTATTATTATTATTATTAATCACAAAAGTTTTTTTTTTGTTTACATTAAATATCTCATCATATCATTTACCTTTTAATATATTAAATATTATTATTATTTTTTTATTTTATTTATTTATTTCATCGCTTCCAAAAAAAAAAAAATTATTATTATTATTATTATTGTTATATATATGTATATATTATTATTATCATTATTTGAAAAATGTATTTACCTGAAAAAAGAAAAAAAATAATAAAAAGATTTGTATTAAAATAATAATAATAATAATAATAATAATAATAAAGTAAAAAATTTATTTGATTTTTTTTTTTCGTTTTCGTGAAAGGAAAAAATTTTTAACGGAAAATGCGGAATAATTTTAAGTAATTATTTAATTGCAATTTAAATATTATTATTATTATTATTATTATTATTATTATTATTATTATTATTATTAATACGATTAATATTAATTTTAATTATATAATTAAAAAATTTTTTTATCGCAGTCGGCAAATTAAAAAGTAAATAAAAAAAAAAAAAAGTTTCTTTCGAGTGCTCAACCGGAAGTAAAAGTATCCTTTTTTTTTCCTTTTTTTTTTTTTTTTTAAAAAGCTCAATCCATTTTAAAAAGAAGGAAACTTTTTTATCCTTTTATAAAATGTTATCGATAATTGACACACAAGAGTTTATTTTAAAAAGGAAAAAAAAAAAAAGGAAAGAAAAGAAAATTTTTTTTTTTTCATTAATCGAAAAAGCGCGCCACGTTCGATTTCAGAGGGACACACACGTCAAGAAAAAAGTTTTATTTTTTTTTGTGGGGGGTGGGACGTCATTTTTATTTTTCTTTGTGACTTTAAATTTAAAAAAAAAAAAATTTTCCTTTTTTTTTTTTTTTCATTTTTCTCTTTTTCCTTTTTCTTCATCTTTTAGGTTCTCTTTTTTTAAAAAAAAAAAAAAAATTTTTACTCGAGTATATTTTTTGACGTGTGACAACTTCAGGTTTCGAAAGGTTAAATTAATTAACTTTTTTTTTTAAAAAAAATTTTCGTTGTATTTAATTATTATTCGATCCTTTAAAAAAAAAATTATTAACTCCTCCTTTTCCTTTTTTTTTTAGTTTTTCATAATGTTTTATTTTCTTTTCTTCTTCTTCTTCCTCTTTTTTTTTCCTTTCTTTTCTTCTAAATTTAAAAAATATGGTATTTTTTTTTTTGAAGGGAGTAAAAAATACACTCGAGGGAAA